GTATGGGTGCAAAGAATCGGTTCCCTTGAGTGGACTTATGCTGCATCGGCTTAACTGTGAGTTTCATCCCGAGAGGAAAGTCAAGTGCACTCAATGTGAGGTCGAAATGGAGAAGTCGCGCCTCAAAGGCCACAACTGTATCAGTATTTTGAAGAACAAGTTAGACGTTATGAGCGAACGGATGACTGAACTCAAGAGTTTCTACGCCAGAGAGTTGTCATCAATGAAGAGTCAATTGCAACGAAGAGACCGAGAGATGGAAAGCATTCGCGCGATGTTAGAGCGCCAGTGGCCGCACGCGGGGCCGGGTATGGGAGCCGACCGACAAATGGTCTCGTTTTCATGCGTCGGTAACACTGAGGCGGGCGCTCACGAAATGATATTCATTCAGACGATTCATTTGACGCTTCAGTGCGAGGCCTCAATACACACGAAAATCGGACAAATCAAATACAACGCCTCCAGCATTGCTAACCTCAATACCACTGATTTCTCTCTCTTTCATAACGGACAACCACTTCAAGACCACAGCACTGTCTCCCAGTATAATATACACAACGGAAGTATTTGCCATTTGCTGCCAAATCAGATCTACATTACCTTTGACTGCATTGATATTAAACAGATTATAGGCTTTTCCGTCCGCACCAGTGATACCATTAAATCAATTATCGGACACTTGAATCTTGAGATACAGAAAGTGATTCCCGACCAACTCTACCAGTATCTCAAACGGTGTTCGTGTGGTCTCTATTTCGGAGACAATAAACTTGAAGAGACTTACGAATTGTCCAATTATGATGTGCTTAACATACAGACTCTCAAATTCTGCAATCGACTCTTGATTAATGTCTAATGTTTTAATATATCTAAGTTTTAGATGTAATCTATTTTAGTGAATAACCATTTAATAAGTTGACTGTATTTTAATTACATCTTTTATAATAGTTAATCGCAAACTAGAGTTCTATTGGTTTATTGATCCAATGCTAGCGCTATGTTTCGGTTCAGTAATATTACTTGAATTTAACTCATTTTTATCAAAACTTATAATTAACCCAAAAATAAAGAATAATTAAATAAAAGTTTTATTAAACTTACAAATGAAATGATTATATTTGAATTAATAAATCGATTGAAATAATGCTAGTTTGAAATATAGATTTATATATAAATAACATTTAAATAAAATGAATAAATTTATTACAGGTTTAAAATCATTGCTAAGAGTTAGTGATGGTTGTTGTGAGTGTCGGTGCGGTCAACCAAAACCCAGTCGCCATCCCTCTCAGCCTCTCTCTGGCGCTGTTTATGTTTAATCAAATTGAGTTGAGTTATTAAATTCTCTTTGAGTTTATGGAGGCTCTGGTTCTCATCCTTGAGTCCGATGTACTCCTCGAGTGAGTTTGTGGTCACATCTGTGGTCTCCAACTCCTGCTTCCGAGACGACAGAAGCGTTACTTCCATTTTCATGCGAAGGAACTCTTGAGACAGCCGTTTGTGCTCTTCGAAGATATGAATCGAATCCCTGTTATTAGTGTCCGGTTGTATGGGCTGTAGGTCCGACTCCAACACCAGATATGCGTTGAAATCTTTGGGAATTGGATTCGATGGACCAGCTCGCGGAATGGGATTATCTCTGGCAGTCATCGACAGTTTGGGCAATTCGTGTCGACCACTCGCTTGAGGTGCTTGTGATTGGGAACTACTGGGAGGGACCGTGAGGTCATCGTTGAGACCGATATCTGCCATCGTTATGATTGAACGCGACTTATTGAGAGAGGATTGGGTCGAACTGCCAGTTATGGAGACAGGAGTTCCGCTTGAATTGGAGCGCTTGTGGCCGCGAAAAGACTGGATGTGCGCTAAATCGTTGGCCACTCTATGGGTTTGCTCTTCAGATATTTTTCGGGGTTTATTCTGTGGTAAGAATTCTGAGCTATAGTTGGCGTTGTGTATAAATCCGGACATATTTGGCGGTACACTGTAAGCCGGGTTGTTCTTCGACTGCAATCAAAACAATACTCTATTAGTCATTGATGAGAAATGTGAGGTAAGGGTGCGTACACTTGGGTGCATGTCGTGAGGGTCGCCAACATTAGTGCTGCTGTTAAAAACGGGAGGTTCGGTCACTATCTGTTGGGGAGCGTCTAATTGGGTCTGCATTTGTTGGTCTATACTGTAGTCCGTGGAGGACAGGCTGTCGTCAGCATTAGAATACGCTGTCAAATGATAAGACAAACCAAATATAAAACTCTTGAGGTAATAGTAAAACAGTAGGAGCCGTACCACTTGAGTGAGTGATATTGTGCACAATGGGCTCATTTGCGTACTCTGAACAGAACTGAAATATCTGTTCCACAGTCTCCTCCACTGTTTCCATCGATGGTCTCTCTGTCGGGTCTTTAGCCCAACACTTTGTCATCAGATTTTCAATAACTTGCGGACAGTTCTGGAGAAGTGGTGGTCTCTGTCCACTGTGGACGGCCCACATAATACGAAAGGCCGGCCCTCCGATCTCATCGAATGGCTTCTTTCGAGCCAACACTTCCCACAAAATGATTCCCCAACTGAAGACATCACACTTTTCAGTGTAGTTCCAACTCTCGAAGACTTCGGGTGCCATCCATGCGGCCGAGCCCTACGGTTCATACAATAGTTATATGCCGTTACCATTGAAACACAGCCATCGAAGAGACAATACCTTGTTGTTAGTCATGTGAGTGTGGATATCACAAGCAGTTCCAAAGTCACATATTTTAAGTATAGTTCCGCCGTTGACTAACAGTAGACTGCAATCAAGACAACAATTCATGAAACAATTCATTTGAATGATAACTAAATGTCTATACTTTGGAGGCTTAAGGTCTCTATGGATGAGAGCCTTGGGTTGCATTCCGTGGAGATATGAGACACCGCGAGCGCACTGAAGAACCCATGAGATGGCGTGAGACATAGTGTACGGCACGAGTGGAACCGA